TAGTACAATGACTTCAATAGCCTGGCTTGGTTCAATGAACTCGAGTATCTGCTGGTACAGCGTCACCGATTACTCTGTCCTGCACTACAGTTCTGCTCAGTAAACGAATGTGGATGTTGTGACAGTGACAACCCAATATATCTGTCAATATCCGTGCAGTTATTTCGGATAGAAACCGGGTACCTCATCAAATAAGAAGCCATTTTGGAAGACGTTAGATGTGGGATGTGTACACAATGCGCCTGATTTTCTGCCAAGACCGAAGGTAAATGCTAGAAACTACGCATGAATATCCATAAATGTAAATGTTAATCCTTACAGACAACGACATCCTACCACAACACAATGCTTAGTCCGCCACGCCGGCATTCACACTTCATTGTTCTTGATCTATTACACTAAGCGTTTTGACTGTCGTCTGGCCCAGTCGTACATATGTCGTTCTGCAGGTCTGCCACGGAATTCCCTAGTTCCTGGATCCGTCTGGAAAGACCGGGTGTGTGGGGTGGTGGGCCATGTCTCGAGAAATCCTGAATGTACAATCCAAGAGAGGGAAAATGCCTGGGGGAAAATGTGCATTGGTAAGCCACATCGAATTAGGGAGACCCACCCCCGGTGGGCGGGGCGTTCTCTAAAAAAGCAGTGCTTTATGAAAAATTTCATAACTCGGTTGGGAGAAAGCCTACAGAGCAGAAAACAATTGGTGTAGGGGAGCAATGTCTAAGGTGTTCCCAGCATACATGACGTGGGCGGAGGCCCGCCCACAATGGGCGGGGCGTGTCCCGAAGTGGACAGCATCCCTAAAGGTTCTCACGGGTGGATTGGGTCAGAGTTGAGGAAAATAAATGTTAATGGCGGGCGTGACGCGCACCAGAGTGACCGGAGTTTGTTGCCAAATTTACAACTCGGGTTTACGAGGTGGTGAAAACCGTTAACAAGGTCTGTCGGGGTCGGTGAAAATACCATTGGTGGGCGAGACACACACCAAAGTGGGGGAGTTTGTCGCAAAAGCTATAAATCAGCTGAGAGAAAATCTGGAGACCTAAAATACATTCGGCGAAAGAAAGGTGGCTAAGCGCTATTTGTGGGCGGAGCATGCATCAGATGAGCGGGTTTTGCCGCCAAACTTATATTGAGAGTTGAGACGCAATTGAATTCGGTTGAGACAATCTAGAGACCGGGGAAGCAAGTTGTGGATGTAGGCGAAAAAAGGTGAAGAATTACGGTCGTGGGCGGAGCATGCACCAAGCGCGGAGTTCTATAAGTTTAATTTATTTATTTATTTGGACGCAGGGTACCTGCGTGGGAACAATACGATAGCAGAGACAAAAAAATATACCGACAACACAACAACCGATTTGCCGAGGAATAGCAACATTTTGGAAAGAGAAAAATTAAAAGCAGTCATAAAAATATATATATATATAAAATGTAAACACATCAAACCTAGTCAAGGCAAACAATCGTACCCTATTCAGACTTCAGGAAACCTCTGCATTGACTAAATTTATGGCTCTACGACGGAAATTTCCGAGAGACAAGCAAAGAGTGTCCTCATCAAAAATTTTGTTCAACAAAGGCAGCACTCTGATAGCAAAAGATTGAGCTCTGACCTGTGTTCTTACTAACGGATACCTAATTTTGATTGTGCTCCCCCTAGTTCTCGATTGCACCAATGTGAAAAAGTCAGCAGCGTCAACCGCAACCTTCCCTGTCAAAATTTTGAAAGCCATGACGAGATCTTTAACCTGTCTTCTGTGTGACAGAGAAGACAAAGCATAACGGCGGCGCCTTTCGGCCCCACTAGGCAGAGACTCATAACTCGGCACGGAGCATCGAAGAGCAAGCTTGCGAGTGAAATTGTTCTGTACACTTTCTAAAAGTTCAACGTCTTTTTTCTTTGATGGAGAGAAAACCGAAGAGCCAGATTCAACAATTGGTCTTACATAGGCTTTGTACGCTTTCAGAAGGACCCGAGGGTTCTTTGATCGTAAAACTTTGAAAAGATTGTAAGTTCTGCAGTTAGCTCTAGATACCAAGGTCTTGTAGTGAGTATCAAAAGCGAGTTTGTTTGATAAAACAAACCCGAGATCTTTAATCTCATTCACTGGCTCTAGTGCTACCGATCCTATTTTGTAGCAATGGACAGTGCTGTTATTTCCGATGCTGAACACTTTTGTTTTCTCGGGAGCGAGAGGTAGTTCCCATTGCTCGGACCAAGCGACGATATGGTCAATGGCCGCTTGCAGCATATCACAATCCAAATCGTTCTCAATAACTTTGTACAGTTTGATATCGTCGGCATACATGGAACACGATACTTGATATCTGGCCAAGCCACTGGGGAGGTCTGCAGTGTATGCAAGGAAAAGAATTGGAGACAGGACCCCACCCTGGGGGACGCCACTGGGAATCCCATGTATGGACGAAAGCTTGCTTCCAACCCGAACTTGAAATGTGCGGCCACAAAGGAAAGATTCGATCCATCGAACTATAAGATGGTAAACTCCGAGCGATTCCAGCTTTTGAATTAACTTTCCGTGTGGTACTCTATCGAAGGCCTTTGCAAAATCAAAATATATAACATGAACACGCTTTCTAGAGTCGAGGGCTCTGGACCAGTCATTGAGAGAAGAAAGCAGAGCAGTTTCTATTGATTTTCCGGCCCTAAAACCATGCTGGCAGGAAGGGATTATGTTGTGAAGTTCAAAGTATTCTGTCAGTCTGAGCTTACTATCTTTTCGAAAAGCCTCGAAAAAATTGAAGTGATACTTATCGGCCGATAGTTCGCAGGACTACTGAAAGGAGGTTTTTTGGGGATGGGAACTATGAAGGAATGTTTCCACCGAGATGGAACTTCCGATCGTATGTATGAAAGGTTGAACAGAAGTTCCAAGGGGAAGGCAATGTGAAAATGCAATTTTTTGATGAACTTAAGGGGGAGGAAATCTGAGGTGACCGAGTGTGAGTCTGGCCATTGGGTTAATAACTCATAAATCTCTTCCTTATGGAACCACAGTGTGGGCATCATTGTAAAGCAGCTAGGGGGAAGCTCGACAGGGACCAAGCCATTGTTTACCGCAAAAACTCGCTGAAACTGATCAGCAAGAAGCTCAGCTTTTTCCTCGTCAAGCGTGACAAGATTTGAATCAGAATCAACTAATGCTGGTATCTTTCTAGTCTCTTTGAGTCGTTTATTGATATACGCAAACAATTTAGTGGGGTCCTTTGAATCGATTAATTTTTTTTTCCAAATACGCGTTATATTTAGCTATACATTTAGACACCTTTCTATCGAAGACTTTGTAGGCGTCCCAACTGGGTTCACTATCATCGGCTACCGCGCAGGCCCATAGATGGCTACGGCGGTGTATCATTCTAACCAGATAGGGGGAAATTTGTACCGAGTAGTTTTAGTTAGACGTAGAGGCACATATCTATCCACCGCATCACCAAGGACGGCTAGAAATAGTTCGTATTTATCTTCTACGGTGTCTACCGTAGAGAAGGAACCAACCCAGTCAATGTTTCCTAAATATTGTTCGATGGCTTCATATTTAGTTTTGCTAAAATCTCTTACCCATTTTCGCTGAGTAACGGTGGGTGGACTAACGTTGAGAGTGAATTCAGCGGATGCATGATCACTGCTGCCAATGGGGGGCAGTACTTCAACCTCCCCGATCAACGCGACATCGTTGCAAAAGATCAGATCGAGATACGAGGAGCCACGTGTGGGGCTTTTTACATACTGTACAAAATTATGGGAATAAAACATGTCCACAAATTCTTTAGTTACGGCGCAACAACCAGCGCTACAGTTGACCGAGTTCCAATCCACATCGGGAAGATTAAAATCCCCTACCAGTAGGCAGGGTGCCTCATAGCAGGCTCCTGAATTTGAAATGACGGACAAACAAGTTTACAACAAGTATTTCATATGCCTCTTTAAGGGACTTTTTGAAAACAATCTCAAAAGAAAGAGTGTTGCGGACTAGTACAAGAACTCCTCCTCCTTTCTTATGGAGCCGATCACAGCGGATGACATCAAACTGGGAATTTATAATACCTAGAAGGGGTGCTGTGTCATGGTTCGAATTTAACCAAGTCTCCGTTAAAAGAACAAGATCATAGTTTGAATGAAGTAGAGTAAAGACTAAACAACTGTGGTTTTTGATAATTGAGCGAATATTTGAAAGCAGACACTTGAGTCTCGGTTGGAGCCGAGGAGTTATCAGAGGTTTCCCGGAAATCCGGATCTCGTCACGTTTTCTGATTTTGAACTACATGTGACATTGGCCGAATCAGCTTGGAGTACACCATTCGCAACAGAGTTGTCATTGTGAACAGAACCAGCACGATGAGCTTCTCGCCTGCGCATTCTCTCCTCTCTGGTCAACGAGGGCCGAATGTAGACCCCTTTATGAGGAAAAAAACGTAAGCGAGGAGCTAGCCTAATCACTTCTTTCTGAAACCTATCATTTGGAAGAATGACCTTAAGTAATCTTGGACGAGAACTGTTCCTAACACCCATGCGAAAAACTAGAGGAGGTAAGCATTCCACACCTAAGAAGTTGAGAAGAGCGAGTACACAATGCAGATCATGTTGTGCTCTATCGACCGAGTTGGGCGACTGACCTTCTGGAACGCCCGAGACCACAATCGAACGACTCATATCAGGATCGATTTTTGATGAACTCGAATCCGCGTTCTGCGTTTGAGAGGAACTGGAACTAAATTCTTTTGAGGCGCTCACACCTGGAGATGGTAACAAAATGTTTAGTTGGGACTTCAAAGATTCGTTCTCCTCTCGAAGAACTTTATTCTCGGCGAGGATGGAATCACAGAGACGACTTAGATCAGAAATCTCTTTTTTAGTTTCAATCAGGACACCAATCAACAGCTTAATGTAAGAAGGAAGACTTTCCTGTGCTTCCAGTCGCTTGAGCAGATCCGGGCTATCAACACCATCGAATAGTGAGTTCTGACGATTGCGTCCAGCCGAAGTAGAATCTACAGCGAAGGAAGCAGATTTCATAGCTAGAGTAGCAGCCAGAGTAATGCAGTAGTACGTTAGAAACCAGACAAGGAGGTCGTGGATCAGCTCAAGACTTCTGAGTTGATCTTGAGTTAATTTTCGTCAGACGCGGTCGGAGCAGGGTGAAAATTCGTGTCGAGGACGTGGCCACATCAGTACAATCCCCCCCCCTCAGATCGGGGTCTTGATACGACCCCTCTAACTTTGATTTGATGTGAATAAGCGAGTTCCATCAATGTACAGCAAAGCATTCAGTTGCAGCGCGGTTTATCCGTGGGTCAGATTTGCCGAAACCCCGCTCGAAACCGTCGAAATCTACACTCTCGATGAAAAGGTTCCATTCCCCCATTTCATAAGTTTTGGAGCAGTATGTGGTAGGGTTAGAAAGAGCTGGTATTTGCTACTACCGGGCAATATTGAAAATGATCTGAAATTACACTCGAGAGATAGGGTCTCATATCTTGTCGAGGCAGGCGTCGAGGATGCTGAATTTTTCTGGCGAGTTGTTTTTCAAAAGGCAATATCTCTCTAATTTCGTAGGAGCTTGGGAAAGCGAATACAGTTGTTAAGAGCGGAAGGTTTGTGCTTTCCAACAGTCTGTTTAGCTTTCTTCTACATTTTCTAGTTGGGGAGATATTTGCGTCGAGGGTTTATCGAGGACGGATATCGGCCACCTAAAACACCGCTTCCTTCTTCACCACTGCAAGATAATTCGGCAACAACTGACAACTCTCAAATGTGTCTAGAGGTAAATTCTCCAACATAAGCAACAAGAAAAGGTGCAATCGTCATCGTCCGATCTCGTCTCAGTATAGGCCATGCATACGACCTCCACTCAAGTTATAGAATCTATGGAAAGTTGTTATACGTATGATGGTGGCCTGTTGACAGAAACTGAATACAACGCTGATGCTAGCCGCAACGACACAAACAGAGTGCCTTTATAGGAGTCGAGAAATAAAGTAGGTCAAAAGATGGCTCGGTTCAGAGAGAAGTTTGGAGCTGTAAAACGTTGCAAAAGCCTTCATGTACGCTTCTGCTGGAACCTTCAAGACACACTACAGTAATCAAATGCCAAAACAACTGAAAAGGGTTTTGATTTTTTCCTAACGCTATTTGTTCTAAGTGTTGCAGGATTTTCTGGACAACCCAATATAAACGCATATTTTTTCCATCGGCTTACCGTAAGTGCAGACTCGCAAGTGCAGGCAGTGATGGTCCCAAAAAATCGAAATCACGGGTATTTTGGAGGGGTCTTTTATATGGCTAATATCGCGTGCGTCACTACTTCTGCAGTTGCGACTCTTTCTACTGCGCAGTAGCAATACCGTTCCTAATTTTTGTCCAATCATTTCAAATCAAAGAGGAAAGCAGGAGTTTTTCAAAACGTTGGATTCTTCGTGAACAGACCGATCTAATGGTATAACTTCCAAACGGCGTACTCCATTTCCTCACGATTTATGGCGAGGAGACGGTTACGACGGACTGACTGCGTCAATTTTTTCTAGTGTTGTTAGACTCCTTCTTTATCTTTACCAGTTGACGTACTCGAAGTCCACGTGGGTATTCTGATCCATTCTTCAGGAATGTCCGCCCCTGCGATGTCCCATGTAGAGAATAACGATGTCTAGAAGTACTAGGTTGTACGAGAAGCCTTGGCTCATTTTTGAAGTATTTTTTGGAAATGCTAATCCTCTTTGGCGCTTTCAACAGTTAACAATAGCACAATCATTTTTGGCGACAGGCATTTGTAGTGTCGTTTACACCGCAGTTCCAGGCTTTTGAATTCTCGTCGTACTATACTCCATATCGCTGTTCGGCATAGTGAGCATGAGCACCTAGGCAAGTCAACTTCTCAGAGCTCTCGAGATGTGGCTCGGTTAAGAGATCGGTCTAATCTGGCTCTCTGGGGTAAAAGCGCAGACGGGTTCATATTTCCAGGAATTGTAAGAGGTCGAGAGAAAAGGGAAAGGATATAGTCAAAGGATATCAAGTTATCTGAATTATTGGGATGTCAGTTAGGGCGGAAGTGGTGTAGTGGCAAGTGGCACGCTTACCACGCGAGTCCGGGGATCAAATCCTGGGTCGTGAGTCGCCCGGGCCAACCAAGCCTTCCATCCCTCCGGGGTCGGTTAATTGGTACCAGACTTGTCTGGGAGGATAAAAACACTGACTTGTACATCGGCTGGCCCCCGCAAGTCATTGTATAGGCCACATCGCATTCAAACGCCACTACGAATGTACAAATGGAAGTAGAATGCGTGCCGCATCCCAAAAGGGATTGATCAACGGCAAATGCTTTATCCTTTATCCTTTTATTGAAGCCAATTTTCAAAAAATCTTCGAGAACCTCTTAGATCAGGAATTTTCGGGAATTTTCGGGAATTCGATTTACTTTCGACACGTAAAAATCTGAATTTTACCTTTTTGACTGCACTGTTTCCTGCACTCCTTCCCTCTCAATCTCTCACCCTCCCTGCCCTTTCGTTCGTCGAATATATATATCGTTTTCGGTGGAAATGAGAGTTAGTTCCAGGAAAGGACGAAAAACAACTGTAGGAAACAGAGTAGGATGGGGGAAGGGGAAGATTATGGAAGGCCAATTGGGACTGGGTTCAATCTAGGTTTCCTTGAAACTTTGCTCACCTTGTGAGTAACCCACAAATGTCTGTGGCGATTCTACGTGTATCGTTTTTTTTTTCAGGTTTTCTACACATCTAAATATATTTGTCAACATCGTGAGCGCTAGCACTTAGTTCTGCATTCGAAGAATTGCTTGGATCGCCCCAAAAGAACGACCTGCACTATTTGGGATCTATTGTAACGGTCCGCTTCGCATCGTTGCAAACGATGGGTAGCCGTTCGTCACACCTTCACGCTGACCTTGTCAGGGTGTGAGAAAAGTCTTTTTTTGGTTTGGTCTAAGCAAACACCTCGGACAGTAGTGACCATTAGCTAGCGGAGGCCGCAGACAACGTGATGAATGAGGAGAAATATATGTCTGCGCGGAACGTTGGTTCAGGAAGACAGTCGACTGATGCAGAGTCAACTGAAGACGATGAGAGGGTCGCTCGCGCACGGTGGCGAAGACTGTTCGCACCTTGGTCCATCCCATTTCGGCCGGACACGTCACCCCTGTCATAAGGTGGATATAGGGTGACCGACCGACTTCTCGCCGCCACCGCCGTCCGCGCCCATCGAGCGACCGAGTCCCTCGTCGAGTCTTCCAAATCACGTCGGCGCCGATCTCCAAATCGTCACCTAGTTCTTCATTCAGCCGAAGACGATTTGCTGCCTTTTTTCTCCATACTAATCGTGAAATTTCACTTTTCAAATAATTTTTTCTCATAGATATGCAAAGGGCATCGCATGCTGTCTCAAATGTTTGTGTAAAAGAAAACTTGAGAATGAAAATTCGACAAATGGAATAAAACCTTTTCATTACGCCGGGTGTAATTGAGTGTAAATTCCCTCAGAGGTTATGGCCGCAATATCCCTCTAGACACTTTTTATTCATACAGGGAGGGCACAAAAACGGTAAAAACCGAGATATTTTCGTATGTAGGTTCCAGAGCACCAGGATGACCCTCAAGATGAAAGCCATAATCCTAATTGTATGAGATGAAGTCGCCGTTTACCGGCTGCCACAGTGAATGGGTTGGCTGGAGTACTTCGCTCTCTTGTCAGTGCAAATTTCGACCAATTTTTGAAGCAACGTTAATCTTTGTTTATTACCCTCCAACGTTATGGTTTTGTTTTTCGGTTGCCTTTTTCCAGCTGTATGTTTCCATATGTCTTCCAGATATACACACATATCTCGTTACCGTAATTTGTGACCGCCCTGTCTTAGGTGAATCTTTTATCTCTGGACTGCTATGAGAAATAAACTGATACAAGTTATTTAAGTTACGAACGTAGAGAAGTAGAGTTTTGAAAACATACTGAAAATGAGGTTTTCCATTATTTCTTCGACTTTTCTCCCATTATTGGCAAACTGCCAATACCTCCCTAATGATGCGATTTTGGTTTTGCAGTGATCAATTCGGCGGCTCATTTTTGCACATTCTGAACTTCTGGAAATCATCTGTCGGCTGGCTGCGCTGCACCAATCTGATAGGGATAATCGTAAGGTGGTATATTCAGGATAACGTGAAGGTTGAATTATTCCATTGAGGCGCCAAAGTGCTTTCTTGAAAAGTTTTCGAAAATTAGCCTCGGGCCAGGCAGACAGGCAAAGGAAGAAATTCGTGCGGTAGACATTTTTTCTCTCTTTTTTCTTTCGCAGTGCATGGAAACTTTTCGAACAGCCACAGTAACTTCCAATTCATCCGGAAGCTCTGCAAGTGTTGTGTTGCTCGCAATTTAATAAACCATTGGCGACATTGCGGCCGGATTTTTTTGGACGGCCAGGTCGTTTTTTTTTCCATCGGTAACGAAACCGCCCTCTTTCAGACTGTTGCAATTAATAGCTAGAGAAAGGATGCGAGCGAGCTTGACTAACATGAGGTAAAACGGAGGTTTGCTAAGCCTCTTTTGCTGATCCCTTTCAATTTACCACTAGAAAAAAATGAAGGTTGAAATGTGCAATTTGGAGCGGTACATTTTTTATGTTATGACTTGTTATCGGCAAGCCGATCAGAAACATAAACAGAACACAGTTATTTATCAAAATTCGATAAAATTTTCAGCGTGCTCAGAAAGTAAACTTTAAGAAATGTAAGAAACCGATATGCTGCCGAGCAACGTCGATCAATCAAGTATGCCAGTTTTCATCGAAATTTATATTTATTAAGATTCAGTGAACATTGTTTAGTGTTATCATTCAACACCGCCAACAAGAATCATGCAAACCATCCGATATTTTTGCCATTTCATTTTAAACTTGACAGGAGATAGTGATTTCTGAATATTTTGAATGACTATTAGTTACGATTGATTTCATTACTTTAGTGATTCTTGTAATTTTAGCTTTATTTTCGGGTCCAAAATTCCATCCTCATGAAGAACGTTGCCCTTGTAATAATTTGCACTTGAAAGTTCAGACAATGGCACAGAATCAATCGGAACACATTCTTCTCATTTGTCACAACAGTTCAATCGATTCAATAATTTTTCCTCTAACTTTTTGAATAATTTCCTAAATCTTGATGTATTTAACAAGTTGTACATTTTCAGTCGAATTTGCTTTTTGCTTTTCGACTATGTTCCCACTTGATATTCGAGACTGATTTTACCGTCCGTTCTCGTGAACTTTGAATAAAACCTACGGAGCCTCGCCAGATTGAGGGTGGTATTGACTTCTTTCAAACGTTATGAAAGTTGAGGCTCCTGGAATAGAGTAGGTAAAAATTCCGATCAGACGTTTGTCGGCTCAAATCAATAGCTGTTTGGAAAGTTTCCCAAAAAAGATGTCACGCCTTGGCACATTCTATTTGTCGAACAGCATTGGAAAGCGTTCATTGTTTTCTCCCTACCATGAGCAGTTCTCCGTTTAACCACATACTACTTACCATTAGACCCCAACGCATAGAGTAATTAGCCATTACGCGATGAGTAATGCATATTACAAGCCGCAGATACATTGAATATCATTGAACACATGAAGTCCTTCGCCTCGATTATGCCTTTCAAAGAATTGTCCGCTTTCTCGCTCTACATTTTGTAATTTGGATAGCCTGAATGGATTCCATTATTGTATTCGAGGTTGTAAAACAATTTAAGAAAGATTTTTTTAGTTACTGAGCTAGATACGGGAAAAGAGGGCTGCACATCCACAAAAGGACGCTGGGCCCCCAGAATGTCTTGTGACGCGGGTGAAGACGCGCTCATCGCCACTCAACCAGGGTCGGTCCTACTGTTGCGACTTTTCGGAAATTTTTTACGACCCCCTCCTTCCAATCATTCTAATCTAAAACACTAATTCTGGGAATAGTTGACACATAACTCCACCCACTTTCCCCTGCAAACAGTGAAACAGCAAAATTTTTCCCGCTCCTACACACTACACGCCCTAAACTCACCCATGAGTTCTATGATTATACCAAATATGATACCCAACTTAAAAACTCATCAAAATACGACCCCCCCGTTGGTACTTGTCGCCACATAGGATTAACCCTGCACCCAATTCTATACCTGGCAAGCTCCACCTGCCTTGGAACGGCCCGCCTCAAAGAGGAAGACTCCGGCTATGATTGGTTGAATACGGATGCGGGTACCGCCGTACTCTTCATTGAAAAGATATTTTTATGATGAGCGGCCGTATCCTTGAGATTATGTGTTATCAATGAAGGTATGATATTCGATAGCAAGATACCATCTATTAGGATTAACACGTGCAAACGAGCTCTGTTTGGTTGCTGGCTCATTCGAAATAGAAATCGAAGGGTTGGGAGGGTCCCATCTCGCTAATTGAGAGCCATCCTCTCTCGAGTTTTTCTTGAGCAGTCCACATTTTACCAGCTCTATTTTCATCCAATAAGCTATTTTTTCGTAACATCCGCGTCAAAGGCTTAAGATAAAACGCTGCGAGAACTATCTACTCTGTTTCAAAGTACCAGATGTGCTCGAGAAAAGACCACACACCATATGTGACGACGACCTCTATTAATCTGGTAACTACCTGTTCAAGTGACACTGATAGTTGGTAAATGATTGATCTAACTGGTGACAATGATAGCATAGAAGTGCAAATAGAAACTGCCAATCATTTCATAGGCAGAAAACATTCACATTCTGTGAAGGCCTTTCTCGCTTTTCTTATGTGGTCTGCACTCGACGAGCATTTGGTTCTTGGAAAGAGGGTATACACTACTTTTCCTACCTCACCATGCCCTACTCTTCGGAGTTTGTTCAAGGTTCAGAGAAAATGCAAGATTTGGCACGAGTTTTACCCGATTTGAGCCTCTACGGTGGGACTACTTCGAAACATTCAGCG